TGGGTTGGGGTTTAGGGGTTTGGGTTGGGGAGAGTAGCATGGGTAGTTGCTTTTGCCCCGAAACCGCTTTGTGTGGCACTCAACTCCAAGGACGGATAGGTGGTCAATGGCCCAACGGCAGCAACTTTTGGAAGACAGGCCGATCAAGCTGGTGACGGAGGTTATGCTCCTAACAGGCTAGTCTCTGGGACATATCTGCAACTCTCTCATGCTTTATCTTCAAGCCTAATTTATCTTCAAGCCTAAACCAGCCGCCTACCTGAAAGTCCAAATCACATCCTACACCCCGCACCTTCAACCCCAAAGCAGCAGAAAGTCCCACACCCTGAGCCCCCCCCCCCAAAAAAAAAAGCAACCTTTAAACCACATAAGCCTCTAAGTAATGCCGAAGGCCGCTCGGGTCTAGGGACTCAAGCTCCACGGACCATCCAGCAGAAGGCTTTGGGGTGAGTTTCATGTAGGGTTTTAAATTTAGGGTTGGGGGCTTACAGTACGGTGTAGGGTTGGGGTTTCACGTCCCCTTAACCCTACACCCTAAACCCTAAATTAAACCCTAAACCCTAAACCCATTAACCCTAAACCCTAAACCCTGAACCCTTTAACCCTAAACCCTAAAGAGGGCCTAGGGGCTTAGGGTTTTTGCAGCTCCAGGCTTCGAGGCTTCACGGCTTCAGAGGACGCCTGCTTCCGCTTGCGACGTGCCGCCAGCCTCGCCGCAGCCTGTGGTGTAGGGTTTAGGGATTAGGGTTTAGGGTTAAGGGCTTAGGGTTTAGGGATAAGGGTTAAGGGTTTAGGGGTTAGGGGTTTAGGGTTTAGGGTTTAGGGGAAAGGGATTAGGGGTTAGGGTTTAGGGTTTAGGGCTGTTTCCTTCAAGGTTTGCTCCTTAAAGCAGTTTAGGGTTTAGGGCTTTTTTTGAACATGTCTACTAGGGCGTCTATCAGGGTTCGTATCTCGTTCGGGCTTCGTGTATGCGGCCTTGATATCGGAGCTATACGGGGAATGTTGTTTGAATACATTCCTTGCACAAGAGACTCTGGTCTAATGTGGGGGGGGCCTTAATTCTTTTCAAGGAACCCCTAAGAGGCAATATTGATAATTATTTGGGCAGTTTTCTATGAGGGTCGTCTTTTTTAGATCCCCAAAAATAGTACGGCACCCTTATAAGAAGGACCCCTAAAAAAGGGGACCCTAATTTAGAGAACCACCCAATTCAGACTTCCATATTTCAGGATCCTGGCGGGCTGTAAAGGATCCTGGGGGGCTGTGCAGGAGGCTCTTCGAGGCAAACTTGCATTCAACCCCTAAACCCCCTAAACCCCTAAACCCTAAACCTTAAACCCCTAAACCCCCTAAACCCCGAAACCCCTAAACTCCGAAACCCTAAACCTTAAACCCCTAAACCCCTAAACCCCTAAACCCTGAACAGAAGCCCCAAAGGCCTTGGAACAAAAGCTGATGCTTCGCGTGATACTCCCAAGTGAACGGTAAACCCGTAAGAATGCGACCAGCACAGGGACAAAAAATTGCCAGTTCGCACCATGTACCTATACTGCGAACGCTTTGAGGTATCAGCCCCAACTGCCGCATGGTGTATTGCGTTGCTTTATCTCCTCGGCGGCAAGGCATAAAGCCGCTGTGGCTGTGCTTGCTCCGTCGCCGCGACTTTGCAGTAGATGGCCGACAGGATGTGCTGGGACAGCGTCCATGGGTCGTTGACCATGCTCCAAAGCGCACAGGGTCCCAGGGAGCTTGTAAACCCTACGCCTCTTCGGACACTTGAATTCTGGCATCGTCAGCACGGAACCTCGGACCATCCAGACGCTGCATAACAAACTCCTCGTCTGCTTCGGCGCCGCTTCCCAAAGCCCCTGCATCAAGGAGAACTCAGGAGAACCCTAAACCTGGTTCCCTGTTGGGGCCATATTAAAAATGATCATTCTTAATCCTTATTAGGGATTTATTATAACGAAAATGTAAAATTGTATCCAACAATGACCCAGAAACCCCAAGACAAGTGCATCCCGGCTGAACAGTCGGCTCCCAAATCCTTCAACCCTAAACAGCCAAACACCAGACCACCAAGCCCAACTCTGCCAGCCCTTAACGCTAAACCGTACTTAAAACACAAAACTCAAAACCCCAAACCCGAATCTGGCTGAACAAGTTCGCCTTGCGATCCCGGGATTCGAAGCGCCGGAGTTTCTGATGCGCGTGGTCCCATCGCCTGGTTCGGGGGCTTCGGGCGTTGGATCGCTTCGGAGGAGCTAGGACTCGTAGGTAGGGTCATCTGCTTCGGTTCAGGGTTGTTGGATTGCTTACAGCCCGAAACCCCTACATATATATATATATATATTATACTGTATTTCTAATCAAGAAACCCCCAAAAAATAGTAGAGGTAGTTATTCAGGCCCCTATATTACACCCTTCAGATAGACGGGTTGGGACTACACCTCTAAACCCTAAACCCCGAACCCTAAAACCCTTCTAAAACCATCATAGATCCATCGGCACTGGAACCCTAAATCCTAAACCCTAAACCCTAAACCCTAAACCCCAAACCCTAAACCCTGAACCCTAAACCACGGAGAGCCTTTTTGCGCTTTAGACTGGGCCCTCAGGGTCTGATGGCAAATACTGGGGCCTTAAATGTCAAGGATAGTGCTTTGGGGCATGTTTTGGGGGTATGCTATATTGCACTTCCGTACATACATACATGCATATATATATATATATGTAACTATATATATGTATATATAGATACATATATATATATACATACATGTATACACACACTGTTTTTATGCTACACCAGGACTTTTCAGGGCATTTTGTCATGAGATATCATTAAGCATTCCGACCCCTTTGATGGTTGCACTGTTTAGTTGCCAACTGATCAGAGTGGCCGAGCCGATAGGCTTTGCTTCCCAAGCTCGTCACGATTTAGAAGGCAGGGTTCCACTTTCCCTAAGCCCTAAACCCTGAACCCTAAGCCCGTTCCCTAAGCCCTACACCCGAAACCGTAGAGTTCGGTGTTCACTTTTGACTTGTCATGATTTCGGCTCCAGAGCTCTGACACTGTTGCTTCGGGGCTCTCCTTGCTCCTTCCTATGTGAAACAGCTTAAGGTTGAGGGTTTAGTTTCTTCCCTTTTCAGTCAGAACCGACCTTTTTGTTGGAGTGGAAGGAAGAGTCGAAACTTGATGCACCAAACGCTAGGCCCTAAACCGATTTAACATGTTGCCAGGGAGCTTCAGAAAAAGTCTGCGGCACTTGTGGTGTTCTGAACGAAGCTGAAAGGCGGAACCCTGCACCCCAACCCTTATATCTTCAAGCAAACAATCGAAATCCGAAAGCTTCAAGCCCAAAGCCCGAGCTCTGCAGCCGAATCGCTACTAAAACCCGACAGGCTGCGCCATAAAGCACAAAACCCGCCCTAATCGAGGAGTCTCGTTGCATGGTGATTTATTAATATGAAAATCCACATCGGATCAAAAGGAGTCACCTGGCAAGAAAATGCAACTAGCGTCGCGTATACCCACTTCCCCGGCTAAGGACCTATGCATGAAGAACTCCGCAGCAAAACGTAAGAACCGCATAAAACACCCTCTTCGTTAAGCCCTAAGCACCCGATTTTAGCTGATTGCCGCACTGAGTTATCATATATTATCACATATTTCAAGATAGTGTTACATACTGCAACATACTATAATCGAAGATAAATATAGAGTTTGCCTCAACAGGCGAGCCAATCTCTGACTGATGCGGTCCTGCCGCAGGGTGTAAGGCTTCGGGCTAGGAGCTTGAGGGCTCGATTTAGGGTTTAGGGTTTCGGGTTTAGGGTTCCGGGTTTAGGGTTTAGGGTTTAGGGATTTCGGGTTTAGGGTTTAGGGTTTAGGGATTTCGGGTCTTGGGTTTAGGGTCTAGGGTTTCAGGTTTAGGGTTTGGCACGCGAGTGCGCCGAGACCCCCCCGCGTAAAGTAGCAGGGGGGTCCGCGCATGAGCCGAAATCCCACCCTCCCAACCCAAATTACAAACCTTTATGCGGTTTAGGGTTGTCTACCCCCCTACCCCCCTAGCAAGGGGGGGGGGTGTATATGTTTGTGTAGTCCCCTTGTCGTTCGTTCAAACTTCGTGCCTTTGATGAACGTGTTTTAAATTTCGCAGAGCACGATCACCATCCACAATGCTCTCTGGTGGGCCTGTGGGGAGCACCCAGTGGTGGGGATGCTCTAGTGGGGACGCGCTCGAAGCACGCTCTGGTGGGAAGCTGTGGGGACGCCCTGGTGGGGAGAGAGGCTTTGCAGGAGGCTCAAAATCCAACAAATGCCCCTCCTACACCCGAAGCCCTAAACCATGGTCACCCAAAGGCTCTCGTCCTGCCTGCATATGGCTCAGTCCTTCGATCCTACTACAGGATCAGGGGCTTCAATGATTAGAATGGGGCTAAATGTTTAGGCTCCAGGGTGCAGGGTCTAGGGTGTAGTTTCGGGTTTAAGTGCGGTGGAGCTTTAGGGGCTTTAGGGTGTAGGGTTTGGGGTTCGGAACCGAAGGAACAACATTGGTAATTACCCAGGAGTCTATACTAGAGCGTTTCGGGCTTAAGATCTCAGCAGTGCAGCCTTCGGGTGCAGTTTTTTTGAAGGTGGTTCCGGACTAAGACTACCCTAAGCCCTAAGCTCCTAAACCCTAAATCCTAAGCCCTAAACCTTAAAACCCTAAAAGCTGTGGTGCGCTTGTAAGAATCCTGAAAGCAACGGGCTGGACCCCTACTCCGTCCTCTCGAAGGGCCTTCTGCTTGCCCTCGCTGTGAGACAGCTTCCGGCCTGGGGTTTAGGGTTTAAGATTTAGGGCTTAGGGTCTGGGGTTTAGGGTTTAGGGTTTAAGCTTTGGGGTCTGGGGTTTAGAGTTTCGGGTCTCGGGTTTAGGGTTTAGGGTTGGCAAAGGAAGATACTAGTATAGGGTTCCTTTACGGGTACCTATAAGGATACTATGACAGGGCCTCAGATGCGAAAACACTGGCAAGGATCAAAATTTCACCAAAATTCCTGTAACCTGAAATGCAAAAAACACTGGCGGTATCAAATTTCCCCACAATTTGAGCAACTATCTGCACCGGCACTCCCCATAAATGCCAGGATTTAGGAATTTGGGGAAATGTGATCCCTGCCAGGTTTCGCATTTCAGGTTTCAAGAATTTTGTGGAAGGCAACCTCAGATGCGAAAACACTGGCAAGGATCAAACTTCCCCAAAGCTCCTTTCCCGCACATTCCTCATAGATGCCAGGATTTGATTGCTGTTAGTATTGTTGTTAGCGTTATTAGTATGATGATTACTAGCTCATTGTTAATACTTGGTTAGCATTGTTAGTAGTAGTGCTGAGTGTCGTGGTGTACATGTTGCTCCCAATTACCTGTTGCTCTTGTTGCAACTGCAACTGCAGCACACTACCAATAGCGGTATTATTGCTGTTAGTATAGTTGTTCTTGTTGTATACATGTGGCTGAATTTTAAAGCTAGTCGAGGCCTGGATACTGTATGAAGACAGTTCCTGCTAAATCTATAGTACCTCGTTCATAGATAAAGGAGCTCTCACACTGTATACTTTCACAACCACGCTATTGTATTTTGGAATATCAACTGAAAGAGCTTGCTTATTCCTGCACATGGTTCTAAAAGGCTCAGCTCTCTTCTCTCTTGTGAATACGGAGAGACAGTACTGCTTATTTCCAATATACAGATGAGAAGGGGCTTAGACGGGAAGACAGAAGCCATTTCATGTCTTGTTGAAGGATGTAGCAGCTCTCTAGATTGTATTGCTGCTAGTGTGGCCCAGATGAGTCTCGTTATTGTTGCATGAACCAAGTGACTGTGGTCTTCTGTTTCTTGCTAAGTGAGGCACAACGAACGCTGGACAGATATATCTTCGTCCTAATTCCCACGAAGCATAAAAGGTGGACAGGTATACTTCCATGTTTCTTATGAGGAGAACAAAGGTTGATCTTTACTTGGTTTTTGCTTTGATTGTTGCTGCTAACACACGAAAATCTGACTTGTTCTTCTGGTTTGTGAGGCGAGTTGTTTGATTCCGCATGACACAAAGAAGCCAGCAGCTGTTCCATGCGCGTTGCAAAGCGTATGGAGCTCGGCACACTTTACTTATGATCGGATGTATTTGGAATATGGTGGAGGGAGACATATGGTGGAGGGAGACAAGTTCTTTTCCGAACCAACAATATTTCAAACTGTGATGCTGGCAGGTTGTAAGAGCTCGTTGAGTTCTCTCCACTGATAAGCGATTGAGGAGCCATCTTGTGACAAGGGGATTTCTGATTTCATGAAAACAACACCAACTACGCGGAAACAAGCGACGTTTCCAGCGTCAGTGTTAGTTGAGCTGTTTCTTCCAATTAGCGCGGCAGAAACAGATTCTGGTTTGGGTTTTGGGTGGTTTACACATACCACAAACAAGCACCACAAGCAGATGTCAGTATGTGTGAAGTGCAGAAACCACCGTAAATGCCGATGGGTTCTGGACCTCGGAGAAAGCATTTGGAGACACAAGACCGTCGACGAACAGATGGCTAGAAGGCTGGGGTGGATGATTGCGGGGGGTGGGGAGGTGGGGCGTAACCTTTAAACTGTATAGGGGCCGCTTACGGCATCTTCCGTAATTACGGGGTATTGGGCTCTCTGGGGTCCTCTTGACAAACGCGGTTTAGGGTTCAGGGTTTTAGGGTCCAGGGCTCAGGGTTGTAGGGTTTAGGGCTTAGGGTTTAGAGTTGAGGTTTGGGGCTTTAAGGCTTCGGGTTTTACACAACCACAAACATCCGAATACTAGATTCCTAGATTTCGGCTCCTTATCAGGATTCTCTCAAAGGGGCCTAAAGGGGTTCTATAGAAAATTTTGGTTTCAGGTGCTGTCATAATTGGAATGCGGATTTCGGAACCCTTCACACAACCCGCGAACACTAGACCCTTCTTTCTCTTGGACCCTATCCCCCAAAACCCTGCCCTAGCGTCTGAAACCAACCTATAGATCCCTTGCGGGTGTATGGCAGGATTTGGGTCGTGGGGGGCTTGGGTTGAGGGTTCAATGATTAGGGTTTAGGGCTGGGTTTCAACATTGGGATTCGGGACTTGATGGTTCCATATTGCTGGCCACGATTGTTCGTCAACCGCGGTGTGCGCACATTTGAGAAATCTGGAATGCAGATGGCGGAGTGGTTCTACGGCCACAAGCAGAGCCCAAGGGAGCACTGGTACAATCCGGAACAGAACAGTGCGCACAACTTCCACGACCTGGCTTTCTGCCTGCTGGAGACTGGCAGCAAGAAGGACCGGTCGCTCTTCCAGAGGCTTTCGCCCATACCACACCATAAAACTTGCCAGAGGTATGCAAAAGAATTATTTAAGCACACTTTTAAAGACCCTGAACTCTAGACGTTTAGTACACGGACCTAGTGTAAGCAGCTGGCCTTGTTGAATTATGTAAGTTTAGGCCTGAACCCAAACATGCAAAATCCTGAACCCCAAGCCACAAACCCTCTGACCTGCGCCCTGACACCAAAACCCTTCAAAACTCCAAACAACCTACAAACCACCCACAAACCCTCTTTGAACCCGCCAAAAAAAACACCCATAGAACACCCGCCAACCTTTCTTTAAACAAGAACTGACCGAGCCCCGTACACCCTAAACCCAAGATTACCTCCGAAAACCCCGCTTTCGATGAGCCTCCGCCGCTGCCCGACGGCCTGGATGCCTCCAGGCGGGTTTATGTGGGTTTAGGGTTTACGGTTATGGAGGTTTGAGGGCGCCTTTAAGACTTCCTTAAAAGGGGGCTTGTAAGACCCTATAGAGGAACCCTTAAGGGGTCTACCAGGGCTCCTTTAGGGGATCCGCTGGGGTGAGGGTTTGTTGGGTTTGTTGGCTTTTCAGGGGTTTGGATTTACGGTTTGGGTATTCTGCCGACAATGCGAGGCTTTGGGGGGCTTCGGGTCTGTACGGACCTGGCTGTTACGGCTTTGGGGGATTGGGTGGTGGCGTTCTGGTCCAGGGTTCCAGGGTTTCAGGGTCCGGGGCCATAGCTTTTGGGAGGATCTACCCTTAACCCTAAACCCTACACCATTTACAAACACCCGATTTATCTTGGCACGGCCTTGGGTTAAGGTTAGCCATGTGAAAACCCACTCAGCCCTAAACCAGGTTTTGGGGCTACGGGCCCTTACCCCACTCCTACAGCCTTTGGCATCTCAGTGCAGCAGGTTTCGGATCTAGTGAAGCTTTGGGCAGGAGCCGAGGGCGAGGGGCACTGCCTCGCAAGGCATCGGAACTGTTGCCACTTCGATTTCATTAGCTTGGACTTTAAATGTCGAATTCAGTGCAGCTAGAATGCTTCGCGCTTCGACTGCACCCAGTGTGCAATGGCATCGGGCAGCCATTCACTTCTGTCGTTGAAGTACATCTCCCCCATCTTGCGTCCAACCACGTCGAGCTGTTGGTCCTCAAACGCTGTACCCTTCATGTGCTTTCTCGCCTGCACACCATAGCGTGGGATGTATGGTTGATTGCAAATCAGGAGGATGCTGCCTGGATCCGGGACGGTGGATAACCATGCGCTGAAGGTCTCACTAAAGCCGGCTTTGGGATTTTGTGTCGTTACCACTTCCGCTGCACGCCACGATTGCTCCAGGCATGGAGGGCCCATGTGATGTCGGTACCGTAGCTGTTCAAGTAGTTCTTCTGCCAAGGCAGATTCTGTCGTGAAATCCACACATGAGATGCAAGGGCATCCCTCAACCTTCTCATGCGAGTCAACGACCGCATCCGCTGCACGAGTGCTGGCAAGAATCACAACTTTGCCGATGCAGACTGCTGCCTCGTCGCAACAGAGGGATTCCAGGACCTGGCAGCGATCGAAGAGCCCTGAAAGGGAAGCGCCGGGAACAATGGAATATGCATAGGAAGTCAGCTGTAGAGAAGGCCCATCCACAAAGCCAAGTTCTTGGCAGACCACCCGGAAGGCACCCTCGTCGGCGAAACGACGCCGAGGTGGAAAATAGCAGCGAGGGCCAGCAGCCCTCTTCCACTCGGATATAATCCTCTCCTGCAGAGCCCCTTCATTCATCGAGTCAACCTCTGCACAGAGCATACTGCCTTGGCCGTAATATATCTTCAGTGCCTCCTTTAATAGCTGAACCTCGCGGTCTGAAAAATCGTGGTGTCCATCATTTACTTCTTCCTCGTGCATGATTGGGCATGATGACCTCAGACAACCTTGCCAACGCTCGGCAGCTTGCAGAAGGCGTTCAGCCGTGTCTTGCCGTGGTTCCCGTAGCATTAGCTCACAGCACTGTTCGCAGTAGAGCTCCATGTCGCTCCTTGAGAGGGAAGAAAAGTCTTGCTTGAAAACATGCTTCGAGATACGCCGGACTCCGGCACCGTGCTTCCATGCAAGCTCGATATACATCCATGCCTTTTCAGCGCTTTGCAAGCTGCTTCGGCTATGCAAAGCATAGCTGGTCGCCCAGTCGGCCGACGTCTCGGAAGCGTCGTCCAAATCCATGCTTCGAAGCTGAGTTGGCTGCGGTTTCGACACACCTCCGGCAAGGTATCACACCGTCACAAGACATGAAAATTGCCACAATCAACCCCACTTCCATGATGATGATGGATGGTGATGGTCATCATCATTATCATCAACAACAACAACATCATTACCACCGTAATCGTAATCGACATCCCAAGCCCCTCCCCAGCTCATTCTCTTCTTCTTCGAAACAGACGTCAGGGTCGCTTCGATATTCAATCTGCACTCTCGCAACAACTTGCCGATCCCCAGCCTGAACAATTCGCAATACTCTTCCGTATAGTATACAATATACCGTCAAACCCTGCTTGAGACATTCGGGTCCCCTGTGGCTGCAGGCCAGCGCCCACACGACCGCCGAGCATGCTCTGTGAGAGGGCAGGTCGACTCAAGACCCGTGGCTGAGGGTGCAACTAAGGGGACAGCTCCACACGCCCCAAGCCCATGACGAGAGGAGAACCCACAAACGACAGAGCAAGAATGCTCCCGCAACTTCCAAAACGTGGTGGTGGCGATGATGATGATGATGATGGTGATGACGACGATGATGGCGATGACGACGATGATGATGGTGATGATACTGATGATGATGATGATGATGATGAGGATGGCAAACATCATGATGACGACGATGTAATGATCATTGTGATGGCCTGATGCTGATGCTGATGCTGATGCTGATGCTGATGATGATGATTATGATGATGATGATTATGATGATGATGATGACGACGATGGTGATGATGATGATGATGGTGGTGGTGGTGGTGATTGTGATGATGATGATGATGATGGTGATGGTGAGATGATGGCGATGATATGATGAAGATGCTGATGATGGTGATGATGGTGCTGATGATGATGAGCCTTTAGGCTCATATCAGATCTCCCTGGCCTTGGTCCTCCTGGAGCGCTCGAAGGCCAAGGCCTTTGTGGCACATGCGATGGCTCCAAAGTCTTCGTGCCACCCGTAGAGGGTTTTCGGGCTCTAGGGTCTAGGGTTTCTTCTAAGGGTCTTCGAAGGCTGTATCAGGGTCTAACATAGCGGCCTGCAATTGCTCCCGATTGCAACTGTCGTAAACATGGCGTTGCAGGTTGGGGATTCACAAGGTTGGGGGACTTGGGCCGTTTAGGGTTTAGGGGTAAGGGGTGCCGAGGGTCTCTGCTACTGTGGGTTTGGAGGCGTGAAGGTTCAAGGTCCGAGGGCTCTAAAATCCTACCACAAACCCTCAATTCCTAAATCGGGTGTAGAGTTGAGGGATATAGGGTTTCGGGGTTTGGAGTTTCTTAAGATAGAAATAACTAGTTCAAGCCGGGTCTTGGGACGTGCTACGCTTTGGCTAGAGTGGGGCTGTGAGGAATAGGATAGTTTGCTTTAAGGGGACCTAGCACGCCTCCGACGCCTCCCTCGCCAAAACCCTCAACCCTACAACCCTAGACCCCAAAAACATGCGGGCCGTTGGCGTGTGATTTCGGTTGAGGCATGTCGGACAGAGTGGCCTGGTTTTCCAGGCCCTGCTTCAGCAAACCCACGACAAAGCCAACGGCCAGGCCGAAGTCAAAGGGACCCGTTTCAACAAGGGCTTCGTGAGGAAGCCCACGAGGATGCGTGCCACTTAGGGTTTAGGGTTTAGGGTTTAGGCTGTTGCCTTGGAATTCTTGCCAGCAGGAAGAGAAACATCTCGGATGCTTGCTCAACCATCTCGCTCCTTGGGAAAAATATCCGTGAAGTGTGGTTTGCCACAGCATCGCAGTCCCAAACACGGTTTTTGATGGGGTCTGCTGGCATACTTGGTAAGCCTGCCGTCAAGAAGCAGCATCTGCACCTGTTGCCGTGAGGCGACACGAGAACTTTGCCACCACGTGTCACGATTGCCTGCTGGACTGCCATAAAAACCGGCAGAAGAAACAAAGAGGATTGCTGAATGCTCGGGCACAATGCTATTGCCACATTTCCAGTTTCCCTGGAACCTCTAGCCAGCTCGCACCTGACGTCCCCAGGGACCTCATGGCCAGCAGCCCAGCAGCCCCACGGGAAAGAGGAGGACGGAGGGAAGCTGCAAAAAACGAGTCTGCTGGAAGGCCGAAGCCCAAAAGGAAGCTGTCCCTTGTAGGTCTTAAAAAAAAAAAGGACTTCCCAAACATTCCACTCCCGAAATCCGCGACCCTGAATTCAAAACCCTGAACCCCCAAACAACGTAAAGACAGTGCGCCCGTTAACCCGAATCCGAAATTTTGAGCTTGGACCCCGAACCTGGAATCTAAAATCGCAAAATCCTCAAGCCGTAACTAAAGCAGCCCGTCGTCCCAAAGCCTGAAAGCCTAATCTCAAAATTCGTACACCCTTAAAACCCCCAACCCCTTAAACCTCGAACTCTTCCTCCGCTAGCTAAGGTAGGATTCTGAATATTTCGTCATCATATTCCCTCGTAGACCCTTCACAAATACTACCACACACACCCCCCGTGCCCTCTTCTGAGCATTAAAGCCCCCGAGCTCAACACAGAACAACAGCCGTACAAGTATAATTTCAAAGCTCTATAAGCAAAAACCTATTCTAACACGCATAACTGGGCAAAAAAGCCCTAACCCTTAAACCCCT